GCCAAACATGAGTTGAAAAAAAGTGAAACCTATCAATAATAATAATGAAATAATAAAACAAGGACAAAAATAGCACCCAAAGGTCATCGTCCAACTTAAGGTTTTAGAGAAAGAAAAGGTAGAAATGTCACCTGTCAAATTAAAAAAGTCGTAGTGTAGAATGTTTTAAAAGTGTTTCAGTGTCTTTACGGTTTGTATTGATAGTATAGTATGCCATGTGTCAAGAATGTGTCAACTATCATAGTTTATTATGTTATAATAAATTCATAGTATAGTATTTAATTTAAATTAAAAAAGAAACCATATTATATTGTGCCATAAAGACATCTCATAATTTAGTATGACATACCAAATGGCATTTTAAAAAGTAAAAGTGTCCCATAAAATGTCAAAAACATCATAGTATGGGAGAGTGGGGTAAGATGAGCCATTATTTTAATTATGTTGACCTCTAGGCAACGAAAAACGAGATAAAAGTCAAGTGACAACAACAACCTTTACTGCAGGATGTCTTCTGTCAATCAAAATGAAATTAATGCAAATATCACAAAAGGTCATGAAAATATGATTTCTTAAAAGAAAAAGTGGTCTTGTGGCTTAACTTGCCCAATCTGAGGGGTAAATTGAGTTAAATTAAGCCATCTGGGGGTAAATTGACCTATTGACTTTTTCAAGTTTAAACCTGAGCTCTTTGCCATGGAACTGGTCAGCCAGTTTTTGGTCTGCAAGCTCCTTCTCTCTCCTGTGTGAAGACCCTCTTTGCCTCTGCTGGTCCACTGTACCTACTGTTTTCCTTTCCTTTTCCTCCTTACTTTTCATGTATCTACGCAGGGTTATCAATATTTCGGTCTTTTGCAGCTGCTCTGATGGATTTTCCACCCTTGACATCAGTGGCCACTCTCTCCATCTCCTCTGTCTGTCTCTTGTTGAACCACTGGCTCTATTTAGCCCATTGACCGTGTGCTTCTCTCCATCACAGCCAAATAGAAATGTTGGGTTCTTCCTGAATTTATGGTCACATGACAACAAATGTGCACAGTTCCCTAGATAAAGGGGGTGGGTCAATTCACCCACTGGCTCATACCCCACTCTCCCATGGTATTTAAAAAAAGGAAGCAATGAACGGCTGGTTTACTGGCAAACAAGTTATTTCCCAAAGTGTTCTGTTCAACAATGGGCCTTATTGTGCACTACTACCTCCTTTGCTACATCACTAAAGCAAATATTTTGATTTATGTAGATCAACTCTTCAGAAGTGGATGTGGTTTATGCTAATCAAGCCTTTCTGGAAATGAAAGAAGTAGATGGGGAAGAACCTCTCCATTGCATCAATGTGGACTCTGCTAAACTGCAGGAGATTACAGGCCTGGACTCAGAGACGGCTGAGTATGCTGAGATCTAATCGATCTAAGGAGATGGAAAGGAAGAAGATAACATTGCTGACACTCAATTGGGACAAGAGAAGACACCTTAGTCTCATAGACCTTGTGGTGAAGATATTATGGCTGACGTTTAATGGAAATGGTAGTGAAACACAGATTCATGCACTTCAAACTGCTACAGGACTTATCCATACAAGCAGATCCCCGCTGTGGTAAAAAGAAAACTGCAGCAGCGGTGATAGAAACTGCTCTGCAGGCAGCTTATGTAAATGCTTCAAGTTTAGTTCTGGACTTTTGTTACAGTACATATTTTTCTTTGGTCCATAAGATGCATAGCAAAACAAAATCACCATAAAATGAATACATACTGTATAGCAGGTAGTTACCCAACAATCAATTATAACAATACGTTTTTGCTTTGAAATCATGACCTTACTATATTTAATATTTGAATGCTATCTTGCATCATGATTTTACATTTAAAGCCTTTGCAAAGCGTGAAAGAAGCAGCTGGACATAGTTTGTCAAACTTTTTTTATAGATTTATTTTTCAAAATACAAAAACTTTCAGTTTGTTGGCAGTTATACAAATTGTGAAAAGATTTTATAAAGCTTGTAATGAAATAGAGCAATATGTATTTGGCACATTGTTTGAACATGTTTATTTCAGAAACAAGCCTCTTCTGCACAATATTTCAACATTAAAGCCCTCGTCGTAAATGTCAATACTTTTTTTTAAATAATGTATATTATAATGGAAACACAGTGAGACACGGGGAGAGCTGGAACTTGATGGCAAACACTGATGGTTTATTATGAAGAGTTACGGCCGGAGAATTGACAAGACATGTGCTGCAGCAAGAAGTTGATACAGCGGTTGCCCGACCAATTCTGAAGATCTCTACCCCAGACCCATTTATCTGGTTCTGAGAGAATAATCAACATTCTGCATAACAAGTTAAAACAGGCAAAGCATTATAACATCTCTATCAGCTGACGCCAACAGGCAGGAACAGGGAAACAAAACACTGAGAGCACAGCAGCCCTAAGTTGCAGGCCTGTGCTCAGAGAGGGCAGTAGCATACAAACTGATAAACTGGGTCAAAAGGGTGGGCTTGGAAAATATTTCCCCAACATACATCTTCCAATGCATACTTTTATTTCACAACTCAGAAGTTTAAACACAATGTCTTTCTTTTTAATTGTAGGTTTCATGTGTTTGGATTAAGCTCACCATTTTGGTACTTACTGATAGCCTACTGATCAAAGGAGAGAAGCAGTGAAACATATTGAAATCCAAACTGTATTTAACAATTGGCTGAACCTGTAAGGCAGGATAAGATCATGTAAACTCAGATTTTGACGTGAGAGTACTGCGTCTCCTCTTCATCAGAGCTGCTCAATTCTCTGGCGGCTCTCTGAGTCTTTGCCTTGAAGTTCACCTGTGAATAATTGATCTCTAATTCATCCTCACTGGTGTCTATGTCATCGTTCAATGGATTCAGAGATACGGCTGAGTGTGCTGTGCTGATGTTCTCACAGTCCTCCAGCCTCTTTTCATTCTAGAAGAAAACACAGATATAGTCTAGCGTGATACGAGGAGGTGTACTGGCTCCAGATGTTGAACAGATGTGTACGAACGCAGTGGGGGAAACTGTTACTTGATGCTTGAGTGGCGGCTGAGGTTCAACGCTGAACCAGCTGCAAGCCTTCAGCAGTTTAACACATCAGCCTGCAGCTGGGAGTCTGTTACGGCCAGGTTTCTCTTTGAGCCTGAGCTCCCCCTGCTGGTCTGAGCGAAGCATTACAGCACAGGTGTACACTAAAACTACAACAGGGTGTGAACACAATACTAGCAGCACCTGTCGATATAATGCGATCTAATATAACAATGCAACCATTTTATTAGACTGTGTGCTGCATCACTATTTCTGTCTAGTCTTGGATTGTTTTATATGGTCAGGTGTTTCCTCAAATATGTCCATATGCTGTATATTTGTTTTCAGATATTACATTTTTATGAATTAAGTTATTTGGAAGTGTATATGGGTTTGATATGCAAACAAATGAAGGCATGCACTGTTATGAATGCACTATTAAATGTTTATTCATAAAAATGTTGGTCTTTTTTTCAATCAACATCTGTATTGCCAACTTAATAATAACAATGGCACACAAATATATTCTGATCATGGAGTCTTTGATTAATATTTAGCTATTTTGCAATGTGCTGTTTAGCCTCTGCACACACAGTAGGTTGTAAATAGTTGCATAATGTCCAGTCGTCCCTATTTTTAGTTATGGTTATTGTCGTCTCAAGATATGCGTCTGTTTTATCAATATTTTCACAATTACTAGTCATTGGTCCTGTGTCGTGTGCCTTATATTTGTATATCCTTGTTATTATACTCCTACAGGAGTATTTGTTGTAGAACTTTACATAACATTTCACAAAACACTGTTATTTTCTATATTTATTTATTTCCAACAAATATGTGAGCGAGCTTGCATGAAATCATGCACACGCACACACTCCTACATCCCTGACACCTGCGTAACTTATTACCTGTTTTTTTGGTTAAGTATTTTAACAATATCCACTATTTACTTGCAGTGCAGTGTGCACATCGCAACACAGTAATAAGCTGGTAGATACATAAACTCTCCTGTTAGAGAGTTGGTGCTTAAGATGATCTTCACTAAGATGCAGTTTTTACATGATCAAGAACAAACCAGATACAATGTAATTGTATATTTGGTTGTGATATATATATTTATTTGCACCAGTCGTGGCACCTTTAGAGCGAATTTCCTGCTCTTTTGACATGCTTACTGTAACAGATAAGAATAGTCAACATAAGGCTTTGACTTCATGTCTCAGACAATTAACCACATCTGTGTTTCTTGGTAACTGACATCAGTGCTGTTTTGAAAATCAGCGTACAGTTTGTAACATTACGTTCTTGGTGTGATTCTAGAAAAATCCCGGCACAAATACTTGTATGTCAAACACCAAGTATCTGTGTTTTAAGAACCAAACTGATTCACTTTTCCTTCATTGTGTTCTTCTCTGCGTAGCTCCTAAATGTGGCTGCTCAGGAAAGTTCAGAAATAGTTTCTGCTTCTTCAAAAACATCACACACAATGCCTACTGGCAACTAGTTTGGTAAAGCCTTTATACTTCACTTTGTTTTCACTTATATTTACTTCAACTTGACTGTTTCATTTATGACACTTTATGACTTCTACTGTTTGCGCACGTAAAGTATCACATTGTTGTTTCTTCCCTCTTTCTGTATTGCCTTTCATTTTGATTCTCTTCACTTCCTCTTTGTTTCAAAATGACAAAATGATCTGATGAAACAGTTGAGTACTTGAGTGTGGAAACAAATGTCATATTTTATATTTTCTGTTTGTTGAATATGTAAATCAACAACTCACTTTTGAAAACACATTTATATTTCATTATAACATTCTGGTTTGGAACATTGTTCTGTGAATCCCTTAGGAAATGACTGATGGGACTTGCATTCATGTAGTAAAAAGAGATTAAAAACTCTATTGTGCTGAAGGCCACACCCCGGACACATCTTTCAAAAGCCATCAACATGCGACACCAGTCTGACATGACTCAGTTGTTGGACTATTACCACTGACCCTTCCATGCTGGTGAAACCTTTATTTGTTTCTTTATCCATTTCTGAAACGTAGATCAGTACTGTATATACTACTACTACTAATGTATTTATTTCTTCTCTAGAAACAGAAAATATCGTATGCTGACCATCATTGTTGGCTGTAAGGTAAGATAATTGTTTTTGAAAAAAAGTCATACAATGTTAGGCTTTTTTTTATCAGTTAATTCAGTCATTTTGTTACATATGTATATATTGTTTGTTCGTGGTGAAAATAATTTACATATCTTTAAAGACATTTTGTAATTTTGTTTTATTACTTTCTACATAAAAGGTTTTGCAAAACATATGCAAAACATTTTAAATAGTTATCAGTATATGTATATATTCTATTATTTCATATATATATTGCTTTCTGTTTGTAAGAATAATGTGCATACCTTTACAGAATTTCTATCAAAACAAATGCAAAATATTTTAAATAGTTATCATTAGTTAACATCTTCATGCTGTCTCCCTAATTTTATCTTTGAAAGGAGGACATTATTTCCTCTTTTTAGTGATGACACCAGTAACAGTAAGAGTACATTGCAATACAAGTTAAAGCAATAGTTTAAAAGTATGAATTTTATACATAACTAATACTTTTCAGTAGTATTAATTGTGTTTTTTAAATAAGCAGGCACTGCTTCTCTACTTTGTGAAACTTGATATTACTCAAACTGGGTTATTCTTTCAGCAAAACATATCAAACGTCACATTTGATCATATTTACTTTGTGAAGTATGAAGTGAAGTTAATATAATTCCCCCCTATAAAACATGTATTCTTCTTTACTAGGGCTATTCATATTGTAGTAGGTAACTAGTAAATACAAATGAATAGATGTTGTGTCTGTTGTGTGGTGCCTCTGTAGGAATATCAAGCTGACAGAAAAGCATGACGGGTGCTTTAAAGGTTTTCCTCCTTCTACTTCAAGGTAGGGTTTCCAACAATTTAATGCCTTTGATGTCTTTTGATTACTCACAAAAAGTGCAAAATATGCTTTTTTGTTTATAGTTAAGGTTGTGTGTGTGCTGTTTATTTGGACGGGTTTGTTTTCTTTTAATTATGACAGTTTACATTTCTGCTTAATTATTTTTTCAAGATAAGCTACAGTGTAGTAATGGCAATGAAAATCTTACGACCCGAGCTCCTCCAACGATGCAACATATATAATAACATACAATTAAAAAAATAGTGCAAGAAGTCTATATACTGTACATGTAAATAGAATATGATATATACAAGAACAGAATATGAAATTAAATAATGTACATTAAGACGAAATTAAATACGGTTTATTGCGGTGATAACTATTTATATAAATATGTAGATTGCAAGATGACAAACAGATGAATGTTTATCGAGGCACTTAACAGAGCTCAGGTGTTTAGCAGTCTTATGGCCTGTGGGATAAAACTGTCCCAGAGTCTGGTGGTTGTTTGAATACTTAATTTTTCTTTAACCTTGGCGGATATTTAATTTATTGCTTTTATTTAATCTCAGGTAGCTTATGCTTGGAGTGGGAAATCACCATGCCTCTGAGAATAGATGGACTAACTGGATCCTGTGTGAAGGTCCCCTGCACTTTCGACTTCGACTCGCAGTTTGATGGAGATCTGGATCATACCTGCAAAGCAATTTGGATCAGAGGAAGCACGGGGGGAACATTTGTGTTTGATTCCAGCCTCACTGGAGATCAGGCAAGCGGAAACATTCTGCAAGGAAACCTCACAGGGAACCTGCAGAACAAGAAGTGCACCACCATCTTCTACAACATGCAACCGTCCCATTCTGACTACTACTACTACTTCAGGATTCAGTGTGATCACAGGCTGAAGGCCACCTATCCGACAGGAGTCCGTATCACCACTCAAAGTTTGTATTATGTCTTTTAATGTTTTCACTTTACACATCTTTTGGTTTCCCTCTTGTCATGTACTTGTTTTTTTTACTCCTCAGATTCACTGGACCAACCTACCATAACTCCATCTACACTGGAGGTAGAAGAGGGGGCTCTGGTGACGTTGAGCTGCACGGCTGTAGCTCCATGTCCCATCCTTCCCCCAGGTCTGACTTGGACCCCCAGGATAGGTAACATTGAGGAGAAACATGAATCTGAATCCATGGTCTCTGTTATGAACTTCACCTCTTCTTACCTCCACAATGGACAGAACTTTTCGTGCACCGCTCTCTACAAACGACAAGCTGGCAACACCGACCTTCGGTTGGAAAAGTTTATGACCCTCCATGTTCTTTGTGAGTATGTTTCAGGCCTTTTCTTGTTGCTGAGTTGGATGTTGATTTAGTTCATAATTAATCATTCCCTTCATTTGATATAATGTGATGTTATGAAATGTTCCTCTGGGGAATATTTGGATCAAGTTTTGTTAACTACAACTGCAGACTTGATTATTTACTGAAAAAATGGGGACACCAAACCACTGTTATTTATGTGCTGACTTACTAGAGTTTATTCTTATTTTTATTATTCAAAGAGGTATTTAACATTCTGGCAACGCAAAAGTTGGTAAGACTTGTTATTGATTCATGAAGCCATCAAAATACTAGTAGGAAAATACTAGTAGGAGAAGTCGAGTCAGAGAGAGGGCCGAGGAACTGCACGGCTGCAGCTTAAATACTCCCGTCTCCTCAGGTGGACCAATCAGCCTGTCGAGGGCAGCCAATCAGCAACCGGGCACCACCTGCTTACTCACACGCAGCAACACAGACACAGGAGGAGGAAGAAATATCTGCACACGACCCAGGGTCGTAACACTAGGCAGAAGGTCCATGATCAATTTTGTTATCGTATCATCGGACCTGAGGCCGTATGTTTTGGACACTCGGTTAAAGAGAGGGGTGGAGTTGTCTGCTGATCACCATCTGGTGGTGAGTTGGGTCGAGTAGCGGGGGAAGCTCTGGACAGACCTGGTAAGCCCAAACGTGTAGTGCGGGTGAACTGGGAACGTCTGGAGGAGTCCCAAGTCCAGGAGGCCTTCAACTCCGGCTTTTCAGGCATCCCTGTGGAGGCTGGGGACATTGAACCAGAGTGGGCGGTGTTCAAAGCCTCTATTGCCGAAGCCGCGGCGGGGAGATGTGGTCTCAAAGTCTTAGGGGCCTCAAGGGGCGGTAACCCTCGAACCTCCTGGTGGACACCGGTGGTCAGGGAAGCCGTCCGACTGAAGAAGGAGGCCTTCCGGGATATGTTCCGGGGGAGTCCCGAGGCAGTTGCGACAGGCCTGAAGGACAGCAGCCTCAGCCATGGCCGAGGCAAAGCAGCGGGTGTGAGAGAAGTTCGGAGAAGCCATGGAGAAGGACTTTCGGGCGGCACCAACGTTTTTCTGGAAAACCGTCCGACACCTCAGGAGGGGGAAGCAGGGAACCATCCAAGCTGTTCACAGTACGGAGGGGACTCTGTTGACCTCAACTGATAGGGTGTAAGGGCATTGGAACGAACACTTTGAGGAACTCCTGAACCCGACAACTCCACCCTCTATGGTAGAGGCAGAGCTGGAGGATGACGGGGGATCAACACCAATCTCCCGGGGGGAGGTCACTGAGGTAGTCAAACAACTCCACAGTGGCAAAGCCCCGGGGGTGGATGAGATCCAGCCAGAAATGCTGAAGGCTCTGGTTGTTGAGGGACTGTCATGGTTGACACGTCTCATCAACATTGTGTGGAAGTTGGAAACAGTACCGAAGGAGTGGCAGACCGGGGTGGTGGTTCCCCTTTTCAACAAGGGGGATCAGAGGGTGTGTGCCAATTATAGAGGCATAACACGACTCAGCCTTCTTGGGAAAGTTTACTTTAAGGTACTGGAAAGGAGGGTCCGGCCGATAGTCGAACCTCAGATTGAGGAAGAACAATGCATTGTCCGTCTTGGTCGTGGAACGACGGATCAGCTTTTTACTCTCACAAGGATCCTGAAGGGGCATGGGAGTACGCTTATCCGGTCTACATGTGTTTTGGAGATTGGAGAACGCGTATGAGCGGGTTACCAGGGAGATACTGTGGGAGATTCTGTGGGAGTATGGGGTGATGGGGTCTCTACTCAGGGCCATCCAATCTCTGTACTCCCAAAGCGAGAGCTGTGTCTGGGTCCTTGGCAGTAAGTCAGACCCATTTCCAGTGAGGGTTGGCCTCCGCCAGGGCTGCGCTTTGTCACCAATCCTGTTTGTGATATTCATGGTCAGGATTTCAAGGCGTAGCCGTGGGGGAGGGGGTCTCCAGTTCGATGGGCTAAGGATTGCACCACTGCTTTTTGCAGATGATGTGGTTCTAATGGCTTCATCGGTCTGTGACCTTCAGCACTCACTGGATCAGTTCGCAACTGAGTGTGAAGCGGCTGGGATGAGGATCAGCACCTCCAAATCTGAGTCCATGGTTCTCAGCCGGAAACCGATGGACTGTACACTCCAAGTAGGGAATGAGTCCTTACCCCAAGTGAAGGAGTTCAAGTATCTCGGGGTCTTGTTCTCGGGTGAGTGAACAATGAAGCGTGAGATGGGCCGGAGAATCGGAGCAGCGGGAGTGGTACTGCAGTCGCTTTAATGCACAGTTGTGGCGAAAAGAGAGCCAAGCCAGAAGGCAAAGCTCTCTTTCTACCGAGCCATTTTCGGTCCTACCCTCACCTTTGACCATGAAGGATGGGTCATGACCGAAATAACGAGATTGCGGATACAAGCGGCAGAGATGGGTTTTCTCCGCAGGGTGGCTGGCTTCTCCCTTAGTGATAAGGTGAGAATGTCAGTCATCCGGGAGGGACTCGGAGTAGAACCGCTGCTCCTTCGCGTTGAAAGGAGCCAGTTGAGGTGGTTCGGGCACCTAGTAAGGATGCCACCTGGGCGCCTCCCTAGGGAGGTGTTCCAGGCACGTCCAGCTGGGAGGACACCGAGGGGTAGACCTAGGACCAGGTGGAGGGATTATATCTCTTCGCTGGCCTGGGAGCGCATTGGAATCCCCCAGCTGGTTGATGTGGCCGGGGAAAGGGACGTTTGGGGCTCTCTGTTGGAACTGCTACCTCCGCAACCCGACCATGGATAAGCGGGAGAAGATGGATGGATGGATGGATGGCATGTAGTATGTCTTTTTGACTAGTGAGAAAATAAGTTTCACTTACAAATTTGTCTGTGAAAAATGTAAATATAGCCAGAAGCTGGTTAGCGTAGCACAGCACAAAGACTGGCAACAAGTGGGAAAACTAGCCTGGCTCTGTCTAAAGGTAACAAAAACAGCTTACTAGATTTTCAATCATCTCTTCCAGATCCTTCAATGAACACATCAGTCAGCTACTCTGCTACACTAAAAGAGGGCAGCTTGGTGAATCTGACCTGCAACGTCAATGCCAATCCAACTGTGTACACTTGGTACAAAGTGAATGGAAGTCAGGTGACCGATGTGGGTTCGGAAAAAAGGTTTTCCACCACTGTCTCAGAAGTTGACAGACAGATACGGAACCCAGAACTCACCCATCACTTAGATAGACGTACAATCTAAGTCTGATTAAAAAACAGTCACACAGATGATAAATATCGACAAGCAACATTACAAAATATATTTATTTTGTTTTATTTAGTTCCTCCCAAGGAAACTACAATAATCATTGAACCTAAAGGTCCACTTTTGGAGGGCAGCTCTGTTTCCCTGCTTTGTAATAGCCGGGCCAACCCACCTGTGACCAACTACACCTGGTACAAAGGTGATGAAGAAGAAAAGGAGGCTGGATCAAGTTTGGTTTTAAACAATGTCAAACCAAGCAGCAGTGGTGACTACTACTGTGTAGCAGAAAATGAGCATGGGGACCAAAATTCAACACTGATTCGGCTGGACATTCAGTGTATGTTGATTTTCACAGTAAAGACATTGATTTACACTGTCAACAGACTGAATATTGCTCTACTGTATATCCAGCTGTGGTCACCCAAACATGGTCTCTGAGGCCAAGACTGACAGTCACAGGGCAACACCACAGTGTCTGGACTATGGACAGTAACACATTGTCACATTGCGTGACAACCTCAAAATCATTTCTATGTCAGTGGTCCGTTATGAGTGAGTTCTGTTGATCACCCACGTGTTCCTGTGTGTTAAAGGTCACCTATTATGTCAAATGCACTTTTTTATGTCTTCTATACATAAATGTGTGTCCCCGGTGTGTAAGGAGACTCAGAAAGTCTAAGAAAATATAACCCTCTCTCTTTTCCTCCTTACCCACATCTCTAAAAACGGGGGAGCAACGGAGCTGGTAACTCAAAATGTAAATGTGTTTTACATAGACTGTGATTCCCAAACTGTGCTTCTTGTACCATTGGTGGTAAGCAACTCCAACTGGCCTAAATCCTTAACTTAAAACCAAGACATTCTTTTTTATTTTGAAGTGACTGACATAGCATGAACTATTAACGTCAGCTAAACAATATCCTTTTCAGATCTCCCTAAGAACACCTCGGTGTCTGTTGACCCCTCTGGTCCGGTGCAGGACGGCAGCTCTGTAACTCTGACCTGCACAAGCATCGCCAATCCAGCAGCAGTGAACTTCACCTGGTTCAGAGCGGCTGGAAGAGAGGAGAAGGTGATGGGCTCTGAGAGAGACCTCACCTTCAATGTGACCAAACTCTCAGAAGATCAGTATTACTGTGAAGCTCTGAATGTCCACGGACCTGGCACCTCAGAGCGTGTCAGCTTTGACGTCACATGTGAGATTGATACAATTTTTATTATTAAAGGCAATGCTTTGTTTCCATTAAACAAAATCAAATCACTTCTTTGTCTCAGTTCCTCCAGAGATCCTGTCTTCTTCCCGTTGCATCAAGATTTCATCCATGATTCGATGTTCCTGCTACAGCCAGGGGAACCCGCCTCCCTCCCTGGTTTGGAAGTTGGCCGGAGAGCCTGTCAATCACTCTGCTGCCATCCCAATCAGGGAAGAGTCCCTGGGGAACGTGGGCATGAAGAGCATCATCACCCTGTACGATCTGGACGAAGACACGCTCTCTCTAGTCTGCCTCAGCATCAACTCACTGGGTTCTGACAGTTTTGCGTTTTCGCTTAGCAAAATTGAGCAAGGTAGAGGAATTGCGAGTTGGTGAATTTGTATTTGTTTGGTTTTTCTGCATAATCTGCCTCTCTGGTTTTAATGATCAATGTGGTTTGTGGGGACTTTTCAGGCCTCCACTCGTTGTCTTTTGGGATCGGTTTTGTAGTGGCAGCTCTGGGGATGCTGCTGGTGTGTGTACCGCTGCTGATAATCTACTACCGGTGAGAGACAACCTTTTTTTGAGGATGTCATCAGGGGTTTAACTTGACTGGTGACCAGGCTGGCAGCACATTTAAGCAGTATAGCCTTGGCCACCTCAGAATATTGCTAAATATCACCATGAAATGAAAGACTTTAATATAAAATTATAATAAATGACTCGATATTGTTGTGTGTGTTACTTTTAGGAAAGGAAAAGTCATCTCTTCCTCGGACAAGGGAAAGGCGGAGACATGCAACCCTGTAGTTACTGATGCGGTGAGTTCATGTTTGCACATATCGGTAGATGCATTAAAACAGGAAGCTTCACTTACCCAACAAAATGTACTATTTTCTTTTAAAACAGCAGTGAAAGTTGTCTCAAAAAGTAATTATATACTATGTCAAAAAGGCATTGTATGGTATGTTTAAAAACATATATTTTTGAAACTCATGATATAGTATGTTCTACAAAGTCATTGTCATCTATAAAGTTCATCTATAATGCCTTCAAAAGTATTTGTTTTGTATGCCATGACAAATAATCAGAGTCAGTAATCAGTAAAGCATGCAGAACAAAGTGCTTTAGAACATGGTTCATATAAAAACTGAAATATAATGCAAAGATAATAAAAAATAAGAAGTTAGTAAAACACAATAGATACAAGTGAAAGTATATAAAAAGCTAACATGAGATGAAAAAATGAAACCTAATTAATAAACATACTAATAATAACAATAGAAAAAAGAGCACCAAAGGTCATAAGTCCAACTTTATTTTGTGGAAAAAAGCCCTTAAAGAAGTCCGTCAGGTATGCCATACAAATGTAAAAAGTTGCATTATAGTATGTTTTAAAAGTATTTCAGAATTAAAGGTAGGGTAGGTAAGTTTGAGAAACCGGCTCGAGATCGCTAGAATTTGAAAATACACAACCGGAGAAAATCTGCCACTTCCTTATAGAGCCCCTCCTCCAACACACACGAACGCGCACATGACCAATGAGAGCACGAGATAAGTTTGTGCACAGATGGAAGGCTGACAGGCAGGTAGGCCATCCAGTTACTTTAGCCGGGCCGGCTAAAATGATTGGTCGTGCTTTTTACAGTACTACGGCTTCCACAGATGACATTTTTTTATGGATTTTTTGTCAAAGCATTTAAGATATTCATTGCTATCGGGATGTTAAGAGCATTCCATGGAATATAACAAAAAGTGTATCTCGAGCCGGTTTCTCAAACTTACCTACCCTACCTTTAAGTCTCATAAAAATGTTTTAATTGATAATATAGTATGCCATGAAAAATGTGTAAAATGTCATAGTATTTTATTCTAAAATAAATTCACTGTATAGTATTTCCACATCAAGGTCAAAGTCAAAGTCAACTTTATTGTCAATCTCAAAATATGTTTGTACACACAGAAAGATCGAAATACTGTTTCCCACAGTGCCGAGTTATAAAAAACTCACACATTTAAATGCAAGAACACTCAATAATTTACAAAAATAAATAAATAAATAACCGTTTACTTCAGTAAGCAGGATATATATAAAAAAGATGATTTACATAGTGCAAATGGGAGTGCAAAATTGTCCATAGCAGCGTAAAAGTGACTGTATATATATGTAAAAATAAAGCATAGTATAATATGCCATAAAGACAACTCATAATTTGGTATGACACACAATGGAATTTAATTTAAAAAAAAGTGGGTCATAGAATGTCACAAACATCATGGTATATTTAAAAAAAGGAAACGATGAACGGCTGGTTTACTGGCAAACGAGCTTATTTCCCAAAAGTGTTCTGTTTAACAATGGGCTTTATTGTGCACTACTACCTCCTTTGCTACATCACTAAAGTAACTCTTTTGTTTCTGTAGATCAACTCTTCAAAAGTGGATGTGATTTATGCTAATAAAGCTTTTCTGGAAGAGAAAGAAGTAGCTGAGGAGGAACTCCATTACGTCAATGTGGACTTTGCTAAACTGCAGGCCCATTCAAAGGGTAAGCCTGGGGAAGGGGAGATTAGTGGCCTGGACTCAAAGACGGAGTATGCTGAGATCCGTCTGCAGTCCAGAGGAAGCATCGGAGGAGATGCAGAGGAAGAAGAGAACGTCTCTGACACTCAATTGGAACAAGAGAAGACACCTTGGTCTCATAAACCTTGAGGTGAAATGTTTATGGCTGACGTTTAAGGGAAATGGTAGTGAAACACAGCAATGTGCGCTTCAAACTGCTACAGGACTTCACCATACAAGCAGATCCCTGCTGAGATAAAACTGCAGAAGCGGTAGTAGAAACTGCTCTGCATGCAACCTATTTAAAACGTAGTCACACTTGTTGCTTCAAGTTTAGTTCTGGACTTTTGTAACTGTACCCCTTTTTTTGTGTCCATAAGATGCATAGCAAAACAATATCACCATACAATGAATACATACTGTATAGCAGGTAGTTACCCTGGAATTTCCTCCTTTGAAATCATGACTTTTACTATATTTAATATTTGAATGCTATTTTGTCTTCCTGATTTTACATTAAAAACCTTTGCCAAGCGTGAAAGAAGCAGCTGGACATAGCTTGTCACACTTTATAGATTTTGTTTTCTCCAAAATACAAAAACAAAGACATTTTGTTGGCAGTTATACAACAGCGGAATTCAAAACCCTTCCCTTCAAAGCCGCTGTGCTTGGGTTGGCACTGGTCTCTCCTAGACCTATTGTACACATAGCAGTCAATAGGTACTGTAGTATATTCCCCTCAAAGTTGCAGGGTTTAAGGGGAATGGCTTTTGGGGCTGTTCCCTGGCCTTCACATAGCAGCCAGTTTCACTAGGTAGTACATTCCCCTCAAATCCTGTTTAAGGGGAATGGCCACGTGGCAGCTTCGCCAGGCCCTCAACTTATCAGACTAACATCACCAGCGTCAGGCTCTCAGTTCACACAGTTTTGGGGGATGGGTATCCAATCTCCATGCAGTGTTGGGGGATAGTTATCTAATCATCACTCAATGTTCTATGTATATCTGTGGAGTGATGAGGCACGAGCCTAGACGCCAAACACAAATGATATGCTTCTTCTAATAAACATATCAAGAAACAAGTGAGTTATCTGACTGAAATGGGGAGAAGCCTGCGAGCTAGTTCAGGCAGTCAACTCGACAATGATACATTAACACGTGACGCGCCTCGTCCCTCTTACAACCAACAAAACACATTCTCCTAAACATGTCGCTCGATTTAAGCTGCCAGATCTGCCTGCCTCTGCCTCGCTAATGCTGCTGCTGCTACTGCTCGCCTGCCCCAGCTTCCACCTGTAGGCTCGGGAATAGTTATCTATTCATCACTCAATTCTCTATGTAACTCTGTGCAATGATGAGGCCCGAGCCTAGACGCCAAACTTAAACTATATGTTGCTTCTAATAAACATATCAAGAAACACGCGAGTTGTGTGACTGAAATAAGATTAAACATAACATAACAAAATTGCCCCCAATGCTGTAATGTAATAAGCTGGATATGACAAAAGCTTTTCTTCTGCTTCTGGGAAAGTATTGACAGAACTAAAGAGTAGTAATACAAAAGAAAGCTTAAAATGAACTATCTGATTCTGTACCTGGACCCATGACTCTGTGGATAAAGCGTGACACGAGGAGGTGCACTGGCTCCAGATGTTGAACAGATGTGTACGAACGCAGTGGGGGAAACTGTTACTTGATGCTTGAGTGGCGGCTGAGGTTCAACGCTGAACCAGCTGCAAGCCTTCAGCAGTTTAACACATCAGCCTGCAGCTGGGAGTCTGTTACTGCCAGGTTTCTCTTTGAGCCTGAGGTCCCCCTGCTGGTCTGAGCAACACCTGCCGATATGCAATCCAATATAACAATACATATATTTGATTAGACTGTTTGCTGGGTCACTATTTCTGTTTAGTCTTGGATTGTTTCATATGTCCATATCCTGTCTATTTGTTTTCATAAATTACATTTTAATGAATTATGTTAGTTGGAAATGTACATTTTATATGCAAACAAATGAAGGCATACACTCTCATGAATGCACTATTAAATGTTTATTCATAAAAAGTTTGTTCTAATTGGCAATTTGTTCAACTTAATAATACCAATGGCACACAAATATCTTAATTATCTTCCCATCATGCAGTCTTTGATTCATATTTAGCTATATTGCAATGTGCTGTTTAGGCTCTTGCACATAGGTTGTTATTGCACATACAGTACAGTAGGCTGTTATTGCACATATAGTAGGTAAGTAGCTGCATAGCTTCCAGTCGTCCCTATTATTAGTTGTGCTTATTGTCATCTCAAGATATGTGTCAGTTTTAACAATATTTTCACAATTACTAGTCATTGGTCCTGTGTCGTGTCCATATTTGTATATCCTTGTAATTTTTGGTCACAGTAAAGCGTATCACCAAATATCTTGTATATATATGATACCTTTTTCAGAGAAACTCATAAACTTGATCTCCAACATCCCTGAAACCTGCGTAACTTATTACCAGTTTTCTTGTTAAGTATTTTAACACCATCCACTATTTCCTTGCAGTGCAGTGTGCACATTGCAACACCATTTAAGTAATAAGCTGGTAGAAAATTGTTGACACAGAACACAATTTCCTTCCTGTTAGTGAGTTGGTGCTTAAGATGATCTTCACTTGTAAGATGTAGTTTTAACATGAACAATAACAAACCAGATACAATGTAATTGTATATTTGGTTGTGATATATTTATTTGCACCAGTCGTGGCACCTTTAGAGCTAATTTCCTGCTCTTTTGATATGCTTACTGTAACAGATAATAATCTGTCTGTATAAGGCTTTGACCTCATGTTTCTGACATTTAACCACACCTGTCCTTCTTGGTAACTGACATCAGTGCTGTATCACTTTCTCGGTGTGATTACATGCTTGTAGAAAAATCCCAGCATAAGTACTTGTATGTCAAACACCAAGTTTACGTGTTATAAGAATCAAACTGGTTCACTTTTCCTTCATCGTGTTCTTCTCTGCGTAGCTCCTAAATGTGGCTGCTCAGGAAAGTTCAGAAATAGTTTCTGCTTGTTCAAAAACATCACACACAATGCCTACTGGCAACTAGTTTGGTAAAGCCTTTATACTTCACTTTGTTTTCACTTATATTTACTTCAACTTGACTGTTTCATTTATAACACTTTATGACTTCTACTGTTTGTGCACGTAAAGTATCACATTGTTGTTTCTTCCCTCTTTCTGCATTGCCTTTCATTTTGTTTCTCTTCACTTCCTCTTTGTTTCAAATTGACAAAATGATCTGATGAAACAGTTGAGTACTTGAGTGTGGAAACAAAGTCATTTTTTATATTTTCTGTTTGTCGAATATGTAAATCAACAACTCACTTTTGAAAACACATTTATATTTCATTATAAAATTCTGGTTTGGAACATTGTTATGTGAATCCCTTAGGAAATGACTGATGGGACTTGCATTCATGTAGTCAAAAGATATTCAAAACTCTATTCTGCTGAAGTCCACACCCCGGACACATCTTTCAAAAGCCATCAACACGCGACACCAGTCTGACATGACTCAGTTGTTGGACTATTACCACTGACCCTTCCATGCTGGTGAAACCTTTATTTGTTTCTTTATCCATTTCTGAAACATAGATCAGTACTGTATATAATACTACTACTAATGTATTTATTTCTTCTCTAGAAACTGAAAATATCGTATGCTGACCATCATTGTTGGCTGTAAGGTAAGATAATTGTGTTAGAAAACTCAAATTATTGCGAGTCGTAAAATGCCAGGCTTAATTTGTTAATTGATTCAGCCATGTTGTTATATATGTATATATATATATTTATAAAACGGACAAGTAAAATCAAGCAATCTGATTGGTTCTTAGCCGTGGTATACTGAGCGTATACCAGGGTAGAATTGTAAGTTACTTTTCACAACAAGTCAGTATCCCTCCGCGTCTGAGATAAACAGTATACAGTTGGGCTGAAAAGCAAACTGCTTGCAGTTTGCTTTTCAAACTGGAACAAGAAAGCAGCGGAGAAGTAACGGGGCAGAAACCCTCCTTTTTACGCAACGGTCCAGACATAGACATCAAACGGCAAAAACATATTCAGTGTGCAGTTCCTTTGGCATTAGGGCAGGGATATTTAGATACTTTCCAAGGTTTGACATAATGAATTGTGCTACTTTTAAAGCAAGCAACGATGTTTTCAAATCTGTAATCAAAAAGGTCCGCAAAAACATTTAAGATTAACTTCGACCTCCGGGGGGGGCGGTCTTACTATGGAGGAGTGGATTGAGGAGTGCCTATCTCCAGAACAAAAAGCACCTAAACGACGACATGTAGAGCGACGTGAAGAGCAGGTAGACCAACTGGAAAAGTATCACCATTCAAAAGCTTTCTGATGCGGGTCTTGAAACAAAGCAGAGAAATTATGACCGTTAGTGGCCACAGGTGCGAAAGCTCTCTCCAGAGCTACTGGAAGCCGAATCTCGGGGACCGGAGAAAGTGGAGCAATATTCTCGCCACGCCAAGCAACAGCCTAGAACAACCTCAGCCTATACAAGTAACCACGTAAGCCATGCTACTGATGCTGGACAGTTTTTCAGTGGGTGCACAATAAACGGCAACATACACATTAATGTAAATAAATAGCCAAATAATGGATCAACGCTCTCTGTCTAATATGTTCGCTAGCTGTTGTTAGTGTTGTTGCATAGCAACCACCTCGCACTATGTTTCGTGCAGAAGGCAACAGAGGGACTATTTTATTTTGAACATCATTATTTACTAATAAAAACTATTTAAATTAGAGTGTGTATTTTTCTTTCATATTGCCACACTTGGTAACCGTTTTATAAAAGCAATAGCTCACCGTCGACCCTCCGCTTCGCGTCGGGCCGAACCACGCCCCTTAGCTGTGATATAATGAGCATATACCACGGCCTGTCGTGAGCTATTGCTTAAATATATATATATATATATATATATATATATATATATATATATATATATATATATATATACATATATATATAGAAGTTCTTATATTTGTATTATTACTTTCTACAGTAAGGTTTTGCAAAACATATGCAAAACATTTTATGGATCCCCCCTATAAAACATGTATTCTTCTTTACTAAGGCTATTCATATTGTAGTAGTTAACTAGTAAATCTAAATGAATAGATTTTGTGTCTGTTGTGTGTGTCTGGTGCCTCTGTAGGAATATCAAGCTGAGAGAAAAGCATGGCGGGTGCTTTAAAGGTTTTCCTCCTTCTACTTCAAGGTAGGGTTTCCAACAATTTAATGCCTAAAATAAAAAATAGTGCAAAATATGCTTTTTTGTTTAAAGTTAAGGTTTTGTGTGTGTGTGCTGTTAATTTGGACTGGTTTGTTTTTCTTTTAATTATGACAGTTTACATTTCTGCTTAATTGTTTTTCATTTTTTTCAAGATAAGCTACAGTGTAGAAATGGCAATGAAAATCTTATGACCCGAGTTCCTCCATATATCGACATATATAATCAAATTCAATATAGACGAAAAGACGAAATTAAATACGGTTTATTGCGGTGATAACTATTTTGATAAATAAGTAGATTGCAAGATGACAAACAGATGAATGTTTGTCGAGGCACTTAACAGAGCTCAGGTGTTTAGTCTTATGGCCTGTGGGATAAAACTGTCCCAGAGTCTGGTAGTTGTTTGAATACTTAATTTTTTTTTAACCTTGGCGGATATTTAATGTATTGCTTTTATTTCACCTCAGGTAGCTTATGCTTGACGTTTGAAATCACCATGCCTCTGAGAATAGAGGGACTAACTGGATCCTGTGTGAAGGTCCCCTGCACTTTCGACTTCGACTCGCAGTATGATGTAAATCTGGATGATTCCTGCAAAGCAATTTGGATGAGAGGAAGCACGGCCGGAACAGTTGTGTTTGATTCCAGCCTCACTGGAGATCAGGCAAGCAGAAACATTCTGCAAGGAAACCTCACAGGGAACCTGCAGAACAAGGAGTGCACCACCATCTTCTACAACATGCCACCGTCCCATTCTGACAACTACTACTTCAGGATTGAGTGTAACGGCCTGAAGTACCACTTTCCAACAGGAGTCCGTATCACCACTCAAAGTTTGTATTGTGTTATTTAATTGTTTTCACTTTACACAAAGTTTGTGTTGTGTCTTTTTACTTTTACACTTTACATATATTTTGGTTTCCCTCTTGTCATTTACTTATTTTTTTTACTCCTCAGATTCACTGGACCAACCTACCATAACTCCATCTACACTGGAGGTAGAGGAGGGGGCTCTGGTGACGTTGAGCTGCACGGCTGTAGCTCCGTGTCCCATCCTTCCCCCAGGTCTGACTTGGACCCCCAGGATAGGTGACATTGAGGAGAAACATGAATCTGAATCCATGGTCTCTGTTATGAACTTCACCTCTTCTTACCTCCACAATGGACAGAACTTTTCGTGCACCGCTGTCTACAAACGACAAGCTGGCAACACCGACCTTCGGTTTGAAAAGTTTATGACCCTCCATGTTCTTTGTGAGTATGTTTCAGGCCTTTTCTTGTTGCTGAGAAGGATGTTGATTTAGTTCACATTTAATCATTCCCTTCATTTGATATAATGTGATGTTATGAAATGTTCCTTTGGGGAATCTGTAGAGTATTTGCATCAAGTTGTGTTAACTAAAACTGCAGACTTGATTATCTAGTTGAAAAATTATATTTATTTTTGTTTTATTTAGTTCCTCCCAAGGAAACTACAATAATCATTGAGCCTAAAGGTCCACTTTTGGAGGGCAGCTTGCTATTGCTATTTTGAGCAAAACACTTCATAGACATATTTTTTATATATATGAGACATATAATATAGATGCCTAAAAATAGTATAATAGGAGACCTTTAAAGAGGTTTTTCACATTCTCCCAAAAGTTGGTAAGAACGATTCATGAAGCCATCATAATGCTTTAATATTAACAACCAATAGGGTGTGTGGTGTACATTGGCATGTAGTATGTCTTTTTGACAAGTGCGAGATGAAAACATTTGTTTCACTTTCACATTTGTCAAAAATGTAACTACAGCCAGAAGCTGGTTAGCGTAGCACAGCACAAAGACTGGCAACAAGTGGGAAAACTAGCCTGGCTCTGTCTAAAGGTAACAAAAACAGCTTACTAGATTTTCAATCATCTCTTCCAGATCCTCCAAAGACCACATCAGTCAGCTACTCTGCTACAGTAAAAGAGGGCAGCTTGGTGAATCTGACCTGCAACGGCAATGCCAATCCAGCTGTGTACACTTGGTACAAAGTGAATGGAGGTCAGGTGACCGATGTGGGTTCGGGGAAAAGGTTTTCAACCACTGTGTCAGAAGTTGACAGACACTTTTACTGTAAAGTCAGTAACAGATACGGAACCCAGAACTCATCCATCACTCAGATAGACGTACAATGTAAGTCTGATTGAAAAACAGTCACACAGAGGATAAATATTGACCAGCAACATTAAAAAAATATTTTTGTGTGTTTATTTTTTTAGTTCCTCCCAAGGAAACTGCAATAATCATTGAGCCTAAAGGTCCACTTTTGGAGGGCAGCTCTGTTTCTCTGCTTTGTAAAAGCCGGGCCAACCCACCTGTGACCAACTACACCTGGTACAAAGGTGATGAAGAGGAAAAGGAGGCTGGATCAAGTTTGGTTTTAAACGATGTCAAACCAAGCAGCAGTGGTGACTATTACTGTGTAGCAGAAAATGAGCATGGGGACCAAAATTCAACACTGATTCGGCTTGACATTCAGTGTAAGTTGATTTTCACAGTAAAGACATAGATTGACACTTTCAACAAACTGAATATTGCTCTGGTGAATCTGAAAACTGCAGACTTAATTATTTGCTGGGAAAAAAAGGATACCAACCACTTTTTAAATGTTTACTAACATTTAAAGTCATTTATGTGCTGACTTACTAGAGTTTATTCTTATTTCTATTATTTAAAGGGGTTTTTCACATTTTGGCAACCCAAAAGTTGGTAAGACATGTTATTGAGCAACCCAGTCTCACGGCATTTCGTGTTATAGTCACGACATTTAATCTATTGATTCGTGTTAACCAACACGATCTTCACCTTTTTGCTTTTAAAAGCAATGTATTTCTATTGGTAGTATGTTTCGTGCCTGCAACACGTCCTTTTGTCCGGTCGGGTCTTGGAAGACCGGAAGCTATGGGGTTCATAAAAACATGTTCTTACTCAATATCAAGCCACGATTATTGTTTTTATTTGAAATCGTATAATGTCGGACTTTTTTTGCCGTCTGTGAGGAAAATAAATGGGGCTCAGAGCCTCTGAATACTGAAATCTGTATTTTTTAAATCTTTTTTTCCTTCTAATTTGTTATCATTTTCTAAATAACACACTGTTATTTACTCAACAATAACACACAATTATCCATGCTTTTATTTATTTGTTTAATTCCATAATCTCTGGCTTTTTTGGCGTCCGTCAGGAACTGAATTTCAAAATAAAAATAACCGGAAACAGACGTAGGCCTATATGGGACATTTCGAGCATCATTGCGATACACAGCCACTGAACTGATTACCCAAGATCCTCAGCTATGGTTTAAGCTCGGTGATTGGATGTTTTAGCCGCAATGCACGTTGGGATATGTGTTAATGCGATATGAAATCTGAAAAACATTTCGGAGTTTATGATGGCCGAAGACACTACACTACCCATAATCCCCAGCTATCGTTTGGGACTACAGTCCCCGTGATTAATCTTCAAGCTCTGGGATTGGATGTTGGAGTGGCAGTGCGCCAAGGTTATGCCGAGCGTCAAACAGCTCTTTGAAATGGAACGAAACCACGGCAGACTATCCAAAACTGGATTTGAACGGGACCAGCTCAAGATTCTGATTAATAATGTGAAATATAAACAACCCTTAAATCAGACTTTAGTTACACCTGAGTAAAATTCAGGGAAGGTGATTGTCAAGTGCCAACAATCAGGCGAGATATTTGATAGCTGGTGCTTGAGAAGACTAAACATTTATCTGCAGATCCCTATAAAGTATATTCATTACTCGTTATTCTCTACTAATAGTAATTAACCTGTTGAACCCCATCCCCCCGCCCCCGGGCGGAAAAACGCATACATGTAATCTGCAGGAAACAGCGTCTGAGGGCTTCTTAATATTTAATAAACTATGAATGTTTCATATCCATGTAACGGGAAGAAACTCAGCTAACTGATGATATGAACCATTTTTAGCAAAAAAAAACACAAAGCTAACGCTGAGCCTCTGAATTAGCCTTGAGCGAAAAGATGCTAACGCCGTTAGCACAGAAAACACGGTATAAACCCTTATTACTTATCGTAACTGCACATCCAACATATCGATTAGCACCGTGAGAATACACAGAATCGATAGGTATTGATATCATCACTCCATGATAAGAACTTGCAACATTATAAACAAAAACAGACATCACAACACGTGGCGCTAGGTAGCCAAAACGGCAATATGTCTTACCTTTGTCGTTGTCTGATCAAAAGTAGTCTTCAATGGCATTAAAATGATAAAAACGCTGCTGAAGTTGATCCATAGGTTAATCCAATGTGTCTGTGTCACTTTGAAATAATTTCTGATAATCCATCAGCAATAAACCTACTTTTAAGTTTTCAGATTTCAGAGCGTAAAACAGGTTTCGATTTGGGCAAACTGCTAGCCCCCACTTCACAATGGTAACGTTGGTGTTTATGTGGAAATTCCCCTTCGATTCTATTGGCTCTAAAGGTTAAAAAGAGATGTCAATCATCAAAATCGACCAATGGGTTCCAGAGAAACGGCTAAAACGCCCATTTCCACCCAAATGACCCCAGAGGTGGAGTTTTTTTTGCTAAACCTCTCTAAAAAGGTCAAATGTCACTTGTTTTGCATCAATCTTGATACAGGGTACTTATTATATGTTGTACTTTGGATTCCTAAAGCTTTTAGTCTGCCATCCCATCATTCAAGGGTGGTTTTCACTATAAGTAAAAAAGAATTTTTGGACGGACACTATAATTTACAGTTTTTTACTATGTTCAATCTGAATTTTCTTTAAAATAAAAAACATCTTTATTGATTCTGACTCATCTACATCCAACTCACAGGTTTATCATTACTTTGAGAAAAAAGATTATTAATTTTCCCCTTTTAGAAGTGTAGTTATGGTCATTTGTTCTGGAAATGTCATTTTCGAGCCTGAGACCTGAAAAACAGGGATGGGGTTTAACAGGTTAAAGACTGTATATAATGGCTATTTTGCACATCCCTTTCAAGATTTCAAGATTTTCTAAGGTTTATTGACATATCATATACACAACTACGGTGTAGTTATGCAATGCATGAAAAACTTGGGTTGCCGGTTCCTCAACAGTGCATTACAAGACATCTATCAATATGTGTGTATACTGTACCTCCACCATTAAACTGTCATATTCTGCACATTTCTTATACTATCTACATACATCTTATAAGAGTATAATTCATATGTATAATATCAGTTAAAATAAGTACTTCAACATAAGCAATATATTAGACAAACAAAGTACTTTGTCAGGCTTCATATTTATCTGTAGATACCCCCAAAGCTTTTTTCTTATTTAAAAGAAGACCTTAAAGGTGGGGTAGGTAAGTTTGAGAAACCAGCTCGAGTGCGCTAGAATTTGAAAATACACAACCGGAGAAAATCTGCCACTTCCTTACAGAGCCCCTCCTCCAACACACACGAACGCGCACATGACCAATGAGGGCACGAGATAAGTTTGTGCACAGATGGAAGGCTGACAGGCAGGTAGGCCATCCAGTTATTTAGCCGGGCCGGCTAAAATGATTGGTCGTTGCTTTTTACAGTACTATGGCTTCCACAGATGACATTTTTTTATGGATTTTTTGTCAAAGCACTTAAGATATTCATCGCTATCGGGATGTTAAGAGCATTCCATGGAATATAACAAAAAGTGTATCTCGAGCCGGTTTCTCAAACTTACCTATCCCACCTTTAATCTAAAGTATTATTTAATGTTTAAATAAAGGTTAATTCCTTTTTCTGTTTTGCACATCCTCCTATTAATATCTTTGTGCATCCTGCACTAAACTGTTTTATTGTAGAGATCACTTACGGTATCTTCTTGATTTTTTATATTCTATATTGCTATCATTGACCTTCTACTTTTCCCCTATGAAAGTATGTACTCTTAATATTTTTTTCATCGAATATAACACATTAAAACAATAATCCAATAGCGTGCTTTAACCACTAGGCAGTGCACACAAGGTACACACAGCCATAATAACTTTTTATTATTAGTGTAGGACACTTATGTATGTATAACATCTGAAGATGTGTAGTTTTATTCATGTTTTCACATAATTTTACAGCATATTGCTATATTATTTCAAATACTTCTACACATTAATATCTGATTTGTAAAACAGACAGAAAGTTATATCCGTCATTTAATGTTAAGCTATTGAAATTCTGATTCCATAGATGTGTTTCCCATCACCCAAAAACCCCCTGACTATTCTTTCAACTCAGTATTTACATTCTTATATTCAAAGAAAATCAGTCCCTTTCTATCAGCTTTGCACCATTATGGTGTAAATATAACCTATCTACGAATTGGATCAAATATAAAAGTCAGCCGAATTAGTGTTGATACTGCAAGGAGACGTATTGTGTGAAGAGAAATTGAAGATGGTGTTTAATTGCTGATATATTTATGATCCACGTCACATATTCAGTTTCTGCAGCAGTTCTTCCAGTTTGTCTACAAGTCTTCTAATCAGGGCTCTATAAATAAAGAACTACGGCAGATGTGTAATATTTAATGCAGCCGAACCGTGTATTCCAATGCCGTTATGTGATGACTTTCAAAGAGAAAAGCAAGTACACACGGAATAAAGTATTATTTTCTTTTTTTTTTATAAATGTTTTTCGGATTTCATATCGCATAAACACCATATCCCAACGTGCATTGCGGCTAAACAATCCAATCACCGAGCTTAAACCATAGCTGAGGATCTTGGGTAATCAGTTCAGTGGCTGTGTATCTGTTTCCGGTTATTTTATTTTGAAATTCAGTTCCTGACGGACGCCAAAAAAGCCAGAGATTATGGAATTAAACAAATAAAAACAAGGATAATTGTGTGTTATTGTTGAGTAAATAACAGTGTGTTATTTAGAAAAGAATAGCAAATTAGAAGGAAAAAAAGATTACAAAAAATATAGATTTCAGTATCCTGAGGCTCTGAGCCCCATTTATTTTCCTCACTGATGACAAAAAAAGTTAATAAAAACAATAATCATACCATAGACTGTATATATAAAGAACATGTTTTTATGAACCCCACAGCTTCCGGTCTTCCAAGACCCGACCGGACAAAAAGACGTGTTGCAGGCATGAAACACAATACCAATAGAAATACATTGCTTTTAAAATCGTTCTGTGTGACACGAAAAAAAGGTGAAAATCATGTTGGTGAACACAAATCAATAGATTACATGTCGTGACTATAACACGAAATGCAGTGAGACTGGGTTGTATTGAGTCATGAAGCCAACACAATGCTTTACTATTAAAACCCTTGGTGTACAATAGGGTATTTTGTACATTGGCATATAGTAAGTGCTAGATGAGAACATTTGTTTCACTTTCACATTTATCTGTGAAAAATGTAACTACAGCCAGAAGCTAGTTAGCCAGATAGACGTATAATGTAAGTCTGATTGAAAAACAGTCACACAGAGGATAAATATTGAACGGCAACAATTACAAATATATTTCTGTGTGCTTGTTTTTTTAGTTCCTCCCAAGGAAACTGCAATAATCATTGAGCCTAAAGGTCCACTTTTGGAGGGCAGCTCTGTTTCTCTGCTTTGTAAAAGCCAGGCCAACCCACCTGTGACCAACTACACCTGGTACAAAGGTGATGAAGAGGAAAAGGAGGCTGGATCAAGTTTGGTTTTAAACTATGTCAAACCAAGCAGCAGTGGTGACTACTACTGTGTAGCAGAAAATGAGCATGGGGACCAAAATTCAACACTGATTCGGCTTGACATTCAGTGTAAGTTGTTTTTCACAGTAAAGACATTGATTGACACTTTCAACAAACTGAATATTGCTCTGGTGAATCTGAAAACTGCAGACTTAATTATTTGCTGGGAAAAAAAGGATACCAACCACTTTTTAAATGTTTACTAAAATGTAAAGTCATTTATGTGCTTATTTACTAGAGTTTATTCTTATTTATATTATTTAAAGGGGTTTTCCACATTCTCCCAAAAGTTGGTAAGACATGTTATTGAGTCATGAAGCCATCACAATGCTTTACTATTAAAAACCTTGGTAGTGCACACAATACAGTGTTTTGTACATTGGCATGTAGTATGTCTTTTTGACAAGTGCTAGATGAGAACATTTGTTTCACTTTCACATTTGTCTGTGAAAAATGTAACTACAGCCAGAAGCTGGTTAGCGTAGCACAGCACAAAGACTGGCAACAAGTGGGAAAACTAGCGTGGCTCTGTCTAACGGTAACAACAACAGCTTACTAGATTTTCAATCATCTCTTCCAGATCCTCCAAAGAACACATCAGTCAGCTACTCTGCTACAGTAAAAGAGGGCAGCTTGGTGAATCTGACCTGCAACGGCAATGCCAATCCAGCTGTGTACACTTGGTACAAAGTGAATGGAGGTCAGGTGACCGATGTGGGTTTGGGGAAAAGGTTTTCCACCACTGTCTCAGAAGTTGACAGACAGTTTTACTGTAAAGTCAGTAACAGATACGGAACCCAGAACTCATCCATCACTCAGATAGACGTACAATGTAAGTCTGATTAAAAAACAGTCACACAGATGATAAATATTGACCAGCAACATTTAAAAATATATTTCATTTAGTTTTATTTAGTTCCTCCCAAGGAAACTACAATAATCATTGAGAGGTCCACTTTTGGAGGGCAGCTCTGTTTCTGCATGAACTTGTAACGTCAGCTACACACTATCCTTTCAGATCTCCCTAAGAACATATCAGTGTCTGTTGACCCCTCTGCTCCGGTGCAGGAGGGTTGCCCTGATAGTTTTGCATTCAACATGTCACTTTGTAAAACTGAGAAAGGTAGAGGAATTAGCAAAATGGTGAATTTGTATTTGTTTGTTTTTTTGCATATTCTGGCCCCCTCTGGTTTTAACGATCAATGTAGTTTGTGGGGACTTTTCAGGCCTCCACTCTTTGTCTATTGGGATCGGTTTTGCCGTGGGAGCTCTGGGGATGCTGCTGGTGTGTTTACCGCTACTGCTAATCTACTACCGGTGAGAGACAACTCGTTTTTTTCAAAGCTAGTTTAAAACAAATTGTAAATGCATAGTCATCAGGGAGTTAACTCTACTTAACTCTAAAATTATAATAAATGACTACATTTTTTCTTTTGCAATTTATTTGTGTTTGTCGTAGGAAAGGAAAAGTCATCTCTTCCTCCGACAAGAGAAAGGCGGAGACTTGCAACCCTGTAGTTACTAATGCGGTGAGTTTATGTATTGCACACATTGGCAGGAAGCTTCACTTACCCAACAAAAATGTACTTTTTGCTGTTTTTGCTGAGTCCTAAAAAATATAATATACTTAATATACTTTGTCAAAACAGCATTGTATGGTATGTCAAAATACATAGATCGTTAAAAGTCATGATATATGTTCTTTTTTCAAAATCATGTCTTTATCATGCGCATAAAATTCGCGAAAAGTATGTGTTTTGTATGCCATGAAACATTTTCAAAAATAATCAGTTGTATAATCAGTTTCAGTAGTGAAGCATGTCAGTGTTCTGTAATTCTTTCATGCAAAAATGCAGAACAAAGTGCTTTAAAACATAGGATTTTAGGAAAACACAATGGATAAAAGGGAAAGAATATGGAATGCCAAAAATGAGTTGAAAAAATGGAACCTATCAATAATAATAATAATAATGAAATATTAAAACAAGGACAAAAATAGCACCCAAAGGTCATCGTCCAACTTTTGGAGAAAGAAAACGTAAAAATGTCACCTGTCAAATTAAAAAAGTCGTAGTGTAAAATGTTTTAAAAGTATTTCAGTGTCTTTACGGTTTTTATTGATAGTATAGTATGCCATGAAAAATGGGTCAAATATCATAGTTTATTATGTTATAATAAATTGATATTATTATATTTAATTAAATAAATAAATAAAACACAGTATATTATGCCATAAAGACATCTCATAATTTAGTATGACATACCAAATGGCATTTTAAAAAGTAAAAGTGTCCCATAAAATGTCAAAAACATCATAGTATGGGAGAGTGGGGTAAGATGAGCTATTATTTTAATTATGTTGACCTCTAGGCAAGGACAAACGAGATAAAAGTCAAGTGACAACAACAACCTTTACTTCAGGATGTCTTCTGTCAATCAAAATGAAAGTAATGCAAATATCACAAAAGGTCATGAAAATATGATTTCTTAAAAAAAGTGGTCTTGTGGCTTAACTTGCCCAATCTGAGGGGTAAATTGAGTTAAATTAAGCCATCTGGGGGTAAATTGACTTATTGACTTTTTCAAGTTTAAACCTGAGCTGTTTACCATGGAACTGGTCAGCCAGTTTTTGGTCTGCAAGCTCCTTCTCTCTCCTGTATGAAGACCCTCTTTGCCTCTGCTGGTCCACTGTACCTACTGTTTTCCTTTCCTTTTCCTCCTTACTTTTCATGTATCTACGCAGGGTTGTCAATATTTCGGTCTTTTGCAGCTGCTCTGATGGATTTTCCACCCTTGACATCAGTGGCCACTCTCTCCATCTCCTCTGTCTGTCTCTTGTTGAACCACTGGCTCTATTTAGCCCATTGACCGTGTGCTTCTTTCCATCACAGCCAAATAGAAATGTTGGGTTCTTCCTGAATTTATGGTCACATGACAACAAATGTGCACAGTTCCCTAGATAAAGGGGGTGGGTCAATTTACCAAATGGCTCATCTTACCCCTCTCTCCATTATGGTATTTAAAAAAAGGAAGCAATTAACGGCTGGTTTACTGGCAAACAAGTTATTTCCCAAAAGTGTTCTGTTTAAAGGGGACCTATCATGCAAAATGCACTTTTGTACGTCTTTTATACATGAATATGTGTCCCCGGTGTTCCAGGGAACTCACCAAGTGTCAGAAAACACAACCCTCTCTATTTTCCTCCATACCCAAATCTCTAAAAAAGGGGCTGCAACGGATCTGATAAAAACTGATCCAGATTTGAACACTGTCCTGACGTCAGGACGGTGGCGCTACGGCTATTGGGCCAACTCTCCACCAATCAGGAGGAGACAGCCACGGCCATTGCCGTTCGAAAGCACTGGAGACGCTGTAGTACATATGCCAGGCCTGTAAGTGGCGCTGTAGTCTGCCACAAAAGCAGCGAAGAAGACTTCCCGCCCATAGTTACCATAGTTACCCTTCTGTTTATTCTCCGTTGTGGCTTTTTTTCTCCCTCCCCGAGGCAAGCGTTTGCTCCCGCTGCTTTAATTCAATGCAATCCCTCCCCGTCGAGGCAAGCACTGTAATTCTCTCCGGTTAGTCCACCAGCAGATGACAAACACCCACCTCTCCGCCTCTTCCAAGGAACGAGGGGACCGTGCGGCAGAGTTTCAGTTTCAGTTTGTTTCGCCGGTCAAGATGTCCGTTAAAGTTTAAATCTTCCGGACAAAATTAGAAAAGTGCCGGTCAAAGGTCTTCTTTGTTATTTATTGAGCTTTAAAACAAATGAATAACGACTCTATATAATAAAACACGGAGGACGGAGATCTCTTTTTCTCCCCCTCTTCTGACAGCCCAGCAGCTGATCAGAGCACGGCTACCCTCTCCTGCAGGGGGGCGTGGTCAGCAGAATCAGACCCGTAGACAGCAAACAGCACATAGAGCGAAATGAGGCATGGCTAAAATGCATGATGTGTTTGGTATTTTGAAAACAGAAACGTATAAATGTACCTTATATAGGTATGGCCCTACAATATATCATTTAAATATAGCATGATAGGCCCACTTTAACAATGGGCCTTATTGTGCACTATACCTCCTTTTCTACATCACTAAAGCAACTATTTTGTTTTCTGTAGATCAACTCGTCAGAAGTGGATGTGGTTTATGCTAATCAAGCCTTTCTGGAAATGAAAGAAGTAGATGGGGAAGAACCTCTCCATTACGTCAATGTGGACTCTGCTAAACTGCAGGAGATTACAGGCCTGGACTCAGAGACGCATGAGTATGCTGAGATCCAATCGATATAAGGAGATGCAGAGGAAGAAGATAACATTGCGGACACTCAATTGGAACAAGAGAAGTTAAATGAGTCTCATAGACCTTTTGGTGAAAAGTTTATGGCTGACGTTTAATGGAAATGGTGAAACACAGAATTATGTGCTTCAAACTGCAATAGGACTTCACCATACAAGCATATACCCCTGAGCTAAAAAGAAAACTGCAGCAGCGGGGTAAAAACTGCTCTGCAGGCAGCCTATTTAAATGTCCTTTTTCAAAATACAAAAACTAAGACATTTTGTTAGCAGTTATACAAATTGTGAAAAGATCACAAAAAGAGTAATGGAATAGAGCAATATGTATTTGGCACATTGTTTGAACATGTTTATTTCAGAAATAAGCCTCTTCTGTACAATATTGCAACATTAAAGCCATCGTCGTAAATGTCAATACTTTTTTTTTAATAATGTACGTTGTAATGGAAACTTCTGGAGCAATGGAGTCGGAACACAGTGAGACACGGGGAGAGCTGGAACTTGATGGCAAACACTGATGGTTTCATCCCACAGGCCATAAGACTGTTAAACACCTGAACTTTTGAAACAACATCAATAACATTCATCTGGCTGCAACTTAGAAATTATTTATCTAATATATCATATTCCAATCACTTGTATATAGACTCTTATTGCACTATTTCACTATTTTACTATTTTAATGTTTGTATTTACTTGCACAATTTTTTCTGTTTTTCTGTTTTATTGTGTTGCACTGTTGAAGGAGACTGTCACCTACGATTTTCATCGTCTTAACTACACTGTAGCTATGTACGTATGACTAATAAAAGCCTTGAACATTGAACCTTGAAGTTACGGCCGGAGAATTGACAAGACATGTCCTGCAGCAACAAGTTGACACAGCGGTTGCCTGACCAATTCTGAAGATCTCTACCCCAGACCCATTTATCTGGTTCTGAGAGAATAATCAACATTCTGCATAACAAGATAAAACAGGCAAAGCATTATAACATCTCTATCAGCTGACGCCAACAGGCAGGAATAGGGAAACAAAACACTGAGAGCACAGCAGCCCAAAGTTGCAGGCCTGTGCTCAGAGAGTGCAAACTGATCAACTGGGTCAAAGGGGTGGGCTTGGAAAATATTTCCCCAACATACATCTTCCAATGCATACTTTTATTTTCAGCCTGTCCTCCTACAAAAAACGACCAAATAGGTTGATTGTTCAGCAGCTTATTACGACCCACAGTCACGTTTTAAAGTGTAGCACCTCTAGTGGTCGTGTAAGAAACAACATGCTCCTGTTGATTGCAACGCTCCGGAGGGTCGTTTATTCACAAATAACCCTCTCTGGAAAATCCTAAATTGTGGAATAGTTTGGCCATTGAAATGCTTTTTGATTAGATTTCTAGCGAGAAGTGTATATTGTACTTTTAGAATCTACGTCCAGTGGATTTATAGGATCTATAGTTTGATAGATATTACGAAGATGATTTGAGGTCTCGCCAGGAGAACGTGTAACGGCAGCTTCCATGTAAAGTTAGCGTCAACC